AATATGTGTTGGTTTTCCAAAAACTTGGACAAGCGATCTCGCACCATGGTCTCCATCAGCTTTCCCGCACAAAACGTAAGAAAGATGGGGTGAAAGTTGTCCGTGTTTATGGCTTTGCCGGCTTTCATAATGAAAGTGATTAGGGTGGTCTTCCATTCGATTGGAAGGGGTGTCCCACCAAGCCAGATTGAGTTTATGTATTCGAGGAGTGCGTCGTAGGCCGGGTCGGAAAGGTTGGCAAGTAATTTCACTGTTAGTTTGTCTCTCCTTGGCACCGTTCCTCGCTTCATTTTAGTCAGGGCCATCTTCAGGTCAAGGAGCTGGAACTGTTGATCCAGCTCCGCGTTCTCAGAACCTCAATCCGCGTTCTCAGTACGCTGGGGCTTGGATGTCATGTCGGACACAGAGGTATCGATTGCATAGTTTGCATGCTAATTTTGAGGTGTCTCCGTCGAAGGCATGGATCGCGTGTTGGAGATGTTTTTGTGTCTCGGCTCTGGTATGGGTAGGATCAATCAAGGTGCGAAAGAGACACCAAGTGTTCTGGCTAGACATTTGTCTAGCAGCCGTGTTGCATCGGTCTACCCAATTCGAGTCGGCGAGCTGAGCTGTGTACTCTGCGGCTAGTTGGGTGAGCTCGGCAATGCGAATTTTGAGTTTCTGATTGTGTTTTTGGTGGCGCCATCTGCGGACAAGGCTGTGCCGTGCCTCCCAGAAGTGAAGGAGGTGATTTTACACCTTCAGCGTAGCCTCTGAGAGTTGAACTTGAGTTTCCATCGAACGAAGGTGGGTGACCAATTCTTGTGACCATGCGTGGTAACCTGTTTCGTGAGTAGGGGCCAGGTCAGAGGAGGTTTTCTGAAACTTTGTCCAGTCGGGTATGCGGGCTTGAGCATAGATTGGGTCTTGTCATTAGTTTGGTTGTGACGGCAGTGTTGAGTATGCAGTGGTCACTGCCGAGGATTTCCTTTGTGTTGGCCCAGTCTGCATGTCTAATGTTTTTGGAGAAGGTAAGGTCCGGGCACGTGTCCCAAGTCACGGAGTTACCTACCCGCGTTGGATGTGCAGGGTCAGTGTGAAGAGTACGACCCAGCGTGGACACAAGTTCTGCCAGCTTGCGCCCACGCTTCTCATCACACACATATCCTCATAGTGTGCTGTGAGCGTTGAAATCACGCACGATCACCAGGGGATCCCTGCTGGCAGCCTTCAGGGCGCGACTGAAGAGTGCTGAAAACATTACATTTTTAAGTCTGGGGGTACAATTTATGTTAAGTATGTGGAGTGGCGCATCTTGTTTCTTGAGCGGAAGAAGTTTCATCATCACGTAGGAATACACAGTTTGGAGTTCCAAGTCGACAAGTTTAGCTGTATAATTATGCACACAGACGCAGGAAGAAGGGTCCTGCTGGAAAGTGATGTAATTTGTAAGGATGGCGCCACTGCCTGGCTCCTGGAGGACAACCACCGCCGGAAGGGAGTCAAGAGTTGATAGGAAAAGTAGAAGATGCGCCCGCTTCGTGCGGGACCGAAAGCCTCGACAATTTTACTGAACAATGTTAATGGGGATGTCCAAATTGGTTTTCTTGGTGTGAAACGGGTCATTGATTTGAAGGAAATTCAGCTTTTTCTGCAGAAAAAGCTCCACATTTTTTTTGCCAAGAACCCTGTTCCGAAATAATTACCCCGAACAGCATACCATCTTTCTGCGTCTTGCAACTAAAAACATGTCTAAGCCCAGTTTATCTGTTTTCATGATCTGTTTAGCCAAATCATGCAATAGAAGGGTGTTGCACAAGTTTTTGGCAGCCGTTTGAACAGTTTGAGTGAAACTTTTAGCTTAATATCGAATACCGACTCAATCGCTACTTGCGCCTTTTGAAAAAAAGGACCATTCGGGAAAACACAGAGCTCACCTTTTTTGTCAGAAAAAATGACTCAAAGTCCTGATTCTTTGAGGTATGTATGGATAAATATGTTCCACTAATAACAATCTCTAACGACAAATCCAACCCTTGGTTTAATATCTCGCTTAGATCGCTCAGAAATAAAAAGAAAAGGTTATATGCTTCAGCTAAAAGGTTATCATCTTCTAAGTCATGGTCTATGTATAAAAACTGTTTAAAATCTTATTGTCTTGCGATTAGCGAAGCGAAAAAGAAATATTTTTCCGCCGACCTGTCTTCACTTTTACTGACTAACCCTAAAAAGTTTTGGCGTGCCATTTCGCCTGACCGTGGCAGTGACATTGTTACATTACATAACGCCGATAATGTTCCTGTCTCTGCATATGAGTGTGCTTCAACCTTCAATTCGTTTTTTGGCTCGGTTTTTACTAATGAAGACTTTTCTTCGGTTCCCTGTGTCCCCGATCGTGAGTACTGCTTCATGTCCCCTATCATTGTTACTGTTGAAGGTATATCCAAACTTATACACGGTCTAAAGCTGTCTACATCGTGTGGTGTTGACAATATTAATTCCAAGGTACTTAAAAACACATCCGCTTCCTCCAGTCAAATTTTATGCCACATTTTTCAACAGTCTTTATCTTCTGGTCAACTTCCCACTGACTGGAAGATAGCAAAGATTATTCCGATATTCAAGGATGGTAACAAACACACACCCGGTAACTACCGCCCTATTTCGCTAACATGCATCTGTTGCAAGCTGCTTGAACACATCATCACCTCTCATATATACAGCCATCTTGAGTCAAATAACTTCTTCTTTCTAAATCAGCATGGTTTTCAGAAAGCGTTATCTTGTGATACTCAGCTATTAGAATTTACGTCTGATTTACATAACGGCATGAATAGTAATAAAACTGTTGACTGCATCTTTTTAGACTATGCGAAAGCATTTGACAGAGTTGCCCATTGTCGCCTAATAGCTAAGCTGTCTGCACTTAAACTCGACTCATCAACATTATCTTGGCTTAGAAATTTTTTGTCAAATCGACAGCAGTTTACATTTGTCAATAACTTCAGCTCGTCTACTTCATTTGTTTCATCAGGTGTGCCCCAGGGCAGTGTATTAGGCCCTCTTCTTTTTCTGATTTATATTAATGATTTGCCTTGTAACATTTCTTCCTCAATTCGTCTTTTCGCGGATGACTGCGTAGTGTACAGAACTATTTACTCTGAAGAAGACCACGTACATTTACAAAAGGACCTTGACTTAATAAATCAGTGGTGTGACCGTTGGCAAATGACGCTTAACACATCTAAGTGCTGCGTACTTTCTTTCACCCGTAAGAAATCGGTTTTTAACTTTTCTTACTCTATCTGTTCAGCTGTAATTCCCCGTTCATCTACATACAAATACCTTGGTGTCCATCTTTGTACTAATCTTGCCTGGTGTACTCACATCGACAAGATATGCGCGAAAGCAAACAGAACTCTGGGATTCTTGCGCCGGAATCTGCATCATTCCCCATCTACCATTCGGCAGCAGGCCTACCAAACGTTTGTACGTCCTCAGCTGGAATACGCTTCATCGATCTGGTCTCCGCATCAACAATACCTAATAGATAAAGTGGAATCCATCCAAAATCGTGCAGCCTGCTTCATCACTTCAATGTATAACCGCCACTCCAGCATCACCCAAATCAAACGCGATATTGCCCTTACTAACTAGGATTCCCGCCGCTCTGTCTCCCGTCTATGCCTCCTCCATAAGTACTACTACAACTCGTGGACCAGTCGTCTATCGCTTGACATTCCTTCGCGTACATCTAGTCGACTTCATAATCATCTCAGTTTCAGACGCATCTTTGGCAACACTCAGTCATTCAATAATTCTGCATTGCCACGCGCCATCGCAGTTTGGAATAGCCTTCCGGATGAAATCGTTTCTATGAGAGATCCGGTCAAATTTCGTGAGCTACTGCAAATTTATATGTTCTCTTGATTTTGTATAACGATGCTTTATTTATTTTTTTTTCATTTTGTTTTTTTGCTGCATTTGCTTATAGTGTTTGTTCTTCTCCCTTCCATTGTGCAATTTTCTTTGTTTTCTTCGATATAATTTCTTTTTATGCTTTATGTTATTGTGATTTTTCTGTAACCCCCCCTACTCAATGCTCTTCTGGGGCCTGTAGGGTAACATGAATAAATATGTGACCGTCTTCTTTATGGGCAACACTTGACGCTTGGGCTTGAACTTTTCGAGCACATGAACATCCTCGGAAATACACCGTTTCCTTTCACGATACGGAGCACAACCAGAAAGTTGTCTCGCAAGAGACAGGAGCTTAGGCGCTTCAAGTCTTGGTTCAACGGCGCACTTGGGACCTCATCTTAACGTCTCTTTCACATATTCAGGCAGAACGACGTCGCCCGTGGTGTGAATAATGTAGCCCTCAGCAGGTTTCTTCGGTTGGCGCTTGGACCTGAGCTGTGACGGGATTGTTGACCAAAGACGTTCAGTTTTGCAGTCCACAAGGCCCCACGATTCACGCCGCCTTTTCTTCTTCTGGATTGTTGAGCTGTGTTCAATGTAGACCTGATTGCGCAGCATATCTCAGTACAGATGTATCTGCCTGTGACACTCCGAATGCAGGATTCTAGTAGTAGTTGCCTCAAGAGTGCCTGAAACAGGCTCAAGAAAGGCCACTCCCTCAGCTTTCACTACGCATTCCGTGCAGGTCTGGCTGTTTTTTTTTTCCCTCTTGGTTTTCTATTTTTAAAATGGTGGTTATTTCACTGTAGATCAGGTTTCAGTGCCTAGGAGTTATGCTCAGTGCTACCATTTCACTGTAATTATTACTAACTTTGCTGGGCACAGTTATGCCTGTTACAGAGATCAGAATTTATTGAATGCTTTGGCTGCTGCATCCTCTCGATGAGTGGGACATTATGAATATGTAGTGAATGACAATATAGTTGCCACACTTCTCTCATCAATGCTGAACTCGGGAAATAATTGCTGTGTCAGGAGGTTCTGTAGGGCGTTTAGCAGTCTTGTGGTGGCGTTAACGTCTGTATTGTATGTGTGTGCAGGTGGAGGAGGGATGGTGCCATCTCCAGGGCCTCCTGGAGGTATGCGGCCCCCGCCCGATCGTTCAGCACCACCTCGTCCTTACCCGTCCTACCAGGTGAGCATGTGCAGCACAGCTAGATCAACACTCCTCGGTGATCAGGTCAAACTAGAGAATATGCTGGTGATTAGTTTTTGGGCAATGCCTTGCAATACCTCCTATGTAATGTCCTGCATGTCCATTGTAAAGGAAGAGAAAACACTTCACTAGTGCAGGCTTATGCTTGCAGGGAAGAGATGTCTGCATATATTGTGCATTTTTTAAATGCAAAGCATTTCTTTGCATACTGTAGGCACTTTGAGCATGTATCTGCATATCTACATGTCTAGCCACTTGTGTCTGTGCTCTCATGATCACCCCCTTAACTTGGGGTAAAGCAAAATTAGTATGGAAGGGTAAAATGCTCTGACGGATACGACTTGCTGGTGAAAAGATGAATAATGTCACAATCCTGTCACGTACGTTGTAAAACACTTTCCAAAAAACAGTGGCACATGCCCGGCATGTGCCACTGGTATGTGGGTATGTGCCACAGGTGTTGGGCAGTTTATATCTCCCCAGAAACAGCAAGAACACTCATGGGTAGTTTTAATGCTTGAGCGGTAAGAAAAAGCGGACATTGCTAGAGCTGACCAGATGAATGCAAAGAATAAATGTCATTGTCCCAGCAGGAATCAAATTCTGTGTGGCAATCAAGTATTATACCACAGAGCCACGCGAGCTCTCGGAACAAATAAACCCTAATGTTTGTGAAACGCCAATTGTGGTTACAGTGCTGGGCTTTCCAATCTTATAAACATTACTTATGTACTCCTACAATACAGCCGTCGCATCGGGTTGTAGTCAGGTGTTAATTTATTTGTGTATTAGTGTCCAGGGCTACGATTCTCATGAGCAGCAGCACTTTATATCAGCTTATCGCTTCTGGTGTTACTAATATCCATGTTGCTGTTGGCATCATTACACAACTGTAAACAACTGGTGATATCAAACATATGCACCTGTTCAAGATATGTCGGTGCATGCATTTGTACATATATTTAGCACAGCTACGTAAAGTATCGCTTGAAAAAAAAAAAAATTACAGCACAGCCAGCTTCACGCGCATGCTTCGCTTAACATCAATTCCTAAGATAGATGGGAGCTGCCGAATTTTTGTGTGATTCCGTTTTTCTGCATCAACCTGCTCGAAATTGTCCTGACTACTGTGGCCATGTTTGTTTATTTGAGGGGTGTTGCCAGTGCAAATGGTACATTTTGTGAATACAGTCGAACCCCGCTAGAACGAAACTAAAGGGAAAATTTTATTGTAGTGAAATCGAATAAATATAGCCGAACTGAACTAGCAAAACAAAGGAACGTTTATTCTCAGAATTCAAAAAGTGCCCACTGCTTTTTATTCTATCCCAGCAGCGTCACGATGCGATTCCTACCCATGCATAGCGAGGCCACGGTGAAAAGCGCATTGAAACAATGCCTAAAACCGCCTTTGGGAATGAACGAAACAGTTGCATTAACACGTTAACACTAGCAGCTGTCCGCCGTCAAAACGCCGAGATGGCAGCAAGGTATGGTGGAGCGGTGACTTTTGCCTTATTTTATGCTTTATGCCATTCTTATCATATATCACTCGCGGCTAGCTGATTTTGTTGGTAATGCTGATGAATGTCCGCTCTGATTAGTTACTACACTGGCAGAGCGAACAAAATGATAAGCATTGAAATCTGAAAAAGACATTGTTCCGCAGATGCACCCAGCAGCTGCACGAAGGAAACCATGAGCTAAGCAACTGAGCTCCAGCTTCGGAATGCCTGCGGCTATACAGTAAACTCAATGTTTAACATTTCGATGCATTTTCAGAAACTGAAAATACGTCGACGAAGTCTGTATCACGCGTTGGCATCACCAGAAACCACCGCTGTTCAGCAAGCATGAGCGCTGCCATCGCCATCGAGCAATAGTGGCGCCCATGTTGGCTGGTTTTTGGTGGTGCCAACGTGTGTTTTAGACTTTGTCAACGTATTTTCAGGTTCTGAAAATGCATCAAAATGTTAGATTATGTTTACTGTATAGCAATAAAAATCTTAGCCTGGAACCGCATCGTGAAATTTCGTTGAAGCGGGACGGCAGAAAAAGAAGTGTTAGTTGTGGCGACAATATTTATGCATTGACTCCTATGGACTGGTGACGGGAAACCGTGAATTTTTTATTGTAGCGGGAATTTCGTTGAAGCAGCGTTTGTCGTAGCGGTGTTCTACTGGAACTAAACGTGGTGTTTTTTGGACACGCTTGGCCGTTACACCACTGAACAGCACCACATCATCTTGCAGGGTGGCTACGGTGGCCAAGGCCCTGCACCGCCCCAGATGCACTCCCGGGGAATGCCGCCACCCCCAGGCTCTCCGTACACGGCCCCCCGGCTGCCTTCTGGAGGTCCCGCCCCACTCGAAGGCCCACCACGTAAACGGCCGCCCCCAGCTGGCAGTGACGCCTCGCCCCGGTCAGCTGCATCTAAAGGGTGGGTCCATTAGGAAGGAAGCCACACTGATGGCCCTCTGGTGTAACGAGCACAGGCAGCAAATGCTGTGCACACTGCATGCTACTCGTACAATGTTTGTCAGAACTACAATACAGTGTACGCTGAGAAGTATATCACATGTAACCTTGCACAAAAACAATACCACCAGTGTGGTGATTTCTTTCTTTAGATTTAAATGTATCTGACAGATGTCTCTCTGGCTGGGTAAATATGATACAAATGAAATAAACTCTCCAGCCATTTTAGTTAAATGTTAAAATTATAAACAAAAGACTGGCTTGACATTTAGGGATGGATTTGGTCTTTTCCTCAGGCAGCTCTAAAGCTAGTGACATTTCTTGGTGGTGTCCCTTCTCCATCCTCGTTCTTCCCACCATTCTTGTTGCTGCATTGTTTTCTCCACTGGTTCCGCATTCTGTGTACATATACGCTCGGCAAGGTCCTACTCGAGTGGTTGACATTTCCAAAGGTGTTCTGGATAGGCTAGGACTCTAAGAATTGCCTTCCGGTGCAGGCACCTTCCGTGTAGATGGCGGCGACGAAGTTGATGTGATTGTCCATTTTTTCTCTGGGTTCTGCAAAAAGTGTTTTGGACAGAGTTAATACTACGCATGTTGTTATGGTGTTACGGTGTTCTTTCCGAAAAAACATTTGTCCTTTTTGGAAAGCATTCTGCATGTAGCTTCAACGCTGCAGCAAAATCCCTGATAGACATCTGAAAAAATCTGATATTATGTAGCTCTACAGAGTGCTGGCGTAAGAGAATACTGTCACTCTAGGGAACAAAGGGGCTTTTATTCTGCCTCTTACCTCATTGCAAAGTAGGCGGTGAGAGAAAATGCGGATGTCTGTGATGACCATGTCTTTTTAAAGAAAGTTCGTACTTGCTGCCTAAGCGACGCAGCCTCCCTCACCCCACTAGCACCCTTTCGTGCTCCTTTGCTCAACGGAGTGAGCTGGCGCGTTTTGTCTCTACTTGAGCCATGCCCGTCTGTGGTCTTTGCGAGCTTTCACTCTTATATAGAACAATGTGCGGGATATTGTAACCAATCCAGACTTCATACAGAGCATGAAGGTGACAGCAAAAGTTTGCCTCAAGTGTTGTTATTAAAATGAAAAAGATCTGCTGTAGTTCAGTGGGGCTAAACCATGTTTGTGGGGCTTAGTTTAGCTTGTGTTGAGAACAGAGGAGACTAGTGGTTTATAGAGATTTAACTTTGTTACATGCCATGACACAAGAGCTATCGTGTTTCGTACAAAACTTGCAACTGTCAGCTTTCTATCCATAAACATGTACAGTGTAGACCACTTATAACGTAACCTCTTATAGTGCAGAACTACTTACAATGCGGTCTTTTCCTACTCCCATTTACCCTCCCATGTTTACGCATACCGCTTATTGTGCAGTCGCCCAAGATGAAAGACCGGTTATAATGCAGTTGCCGAAACTTGTTTGTGACAAATGCGGTAGCGAGTGCGCTTCTGAAAGAAGGTGCACTAGTGCGCCGCTGGAGAGGGAACAACGAGGTCGTTACGAAAGAGGAGGGGTCACGAAGTGAACGAACGAAGGGTGGAGGGAAGAAAAAGAAAATGAAAAAGACCACGGGACACTGCGCGGGCTAGCCGAGTAAGAGAAGAGGACGGTTGCCTTGGTGACCGATAAGGATTTGCATTGGCGTCGACTGCGGCTGCAGCGTTCTACGTCGCTAGTGTGGCTTCATCCGCCCACCGCTCAACGTGACACGTGATATCCCATCCTTATCAACTGCATGCGCTTAGCAGTTTTCTGTCGGGAAAGACGTCGTCGTTATCGCGCTTGCAACAAATATAGCGTTTGCTTCCTCGTCCGTAAATTGTAAACCTTTTACAGTTTTTTGACGTGCGCTTTCAATTTTGCTGCTAGTGCGCTGTCGTATGTAAGCTTGGCGAGTTGCCGTCGTTGCTAATCTCCCGGCCGCAAACGCGAACTTCGTATCACGCACGCTGTTTTGGTTCACTGCTACTGCAATCTTTCTGACGCCGCATCTTTATGTTTTGGACAAACTTTCCGCGACAACATGCCAAACGGCAAACTAGGCCTAATCGGTGTTGGTTGCACTTCGATCGGTAGTAGTCGTGTGAATCTAAGTTGCGGTTTGGTACCGAATCAACGAAACTCTTTGCGGTGGCCACATTTGACGGGAAGGGATACATAATGTTAAAAACGAGGGCGGCACGTGTAGCGCGAATAGTGGTTCGCGATTTGATTGCGATGTTTTAAATCGGGTGCGCGCCCGTGAAATTGAACGGCTGGTGTCTTTCAACATGTCAAATTATGGGCGTGATTCGACATAGTTTTTGTGTAATGCTCATAATTGAGGTTTTCTGGTAGTCGGTGAATTTACACGATGGTGCTTTCATTTGTTAGACCCCCCCCCCCCCCCCTTTTGCGTTCATTTCATTGGCAACGCGTCTTTCTGGACAGTAAATTCTTTTATTATTCAGAAATTTAAATTTTAGCAAGCATGCATCGCGTGTTTTGATTCCCGGACACGAGAAGCTGAATACTCAACACGTTTTGCGCAAGGGAGGCTTTTGAAAAAGGTTTCGATTATAGGTTTCGAAAAGGTTTCGGTACCACTTATAGTGCAAATATTCGCGACTTCCATGACTTGCGTTATAAGCGATCTATACTGTAGTTAATTTAGATGCCACCCTTCAAGTCGCCATTTATTTTTAAGAATGCATCTCCCAAGTGTTTTGCTGATCCTTTGTCAACGACGTTCACCATCAATGAAACTTTTTGGTGGCGAGTTGGTGGTGTATGACATACAACATATTTTTCAGCACAAAAGTAGAAAGCAAAAAAAATAGAAAATGAAATGAAGATAAAACAGATCACATGGCAAGCACTAATTTTTATCTTCATTTCGATAAAGACCACAGACAGTAAATCCCTTAATGAAGGACACTAAAAGTGGCCTCACAATGCTTCCATAAAAATTTCGAGGCGATACCACAAAAAAAAATAAAAATAAATTGGAGACAAATTATTCACTGAACCTCGTGGGGATGCTGGATGATTTATAAAATGACAAAAGTAGTAGGTAATTACTGTACACACAGCCAAATGTATGCTGAAAGGGGCAGCATTTTCAAAATAATTTTTTGCAACACTAAAACTTGCAGTTAACGTTTTTTTCGAGCAAGACTGCAATGACCACACTTGTACTGCAAACAAGAAGCTCTACAAAATATTCTTTGGGAGTAAAATGAAAAACTGAGATCACAGCCTCCTGAGGCTCAGTTCAAGGAGCGTTACAAAACAAATAGAATCAAAATTTGTGAAGTGGTTGCCAAGATATGTGCTCCACAATCTGAGCATATTGCCAAAAAAACAGTGCTGAGAAAAATGCGTTTAAAGTTTCACCTTCTGTTCATGTCTGAAACTACTAAACATTGTGATTTAGGTTTGTCTTGTGATATTTGACTTCTCGGGCATGTGGCCTGTGCCCTGTGTGTCTTTGGTGCCTACTTTAATTTTTCACAACCTTCTTTTTTTGGTCTACAAAGAACAAGTATGGATTTCGAATCAAGTTCTCTGTATGAAGGAGTTGTGTGATAGGCATGACAGAAAATACTGTAATTGAATGAGGCCGTATACTGAAATGGTTACACATCTTCCTCGTGTTCAAGCTGTCATTAGTGCAATTAAGTCCTTCTTGATTATAAATAATTACTGGACATTTTTTGTATCGAGAGTGGTTTTATTGCATCAGAAAAATGGCTCACCCCATGACGGCCTATGCCTTCTTTCCAAATAACGAACAGTTATGAGCAGAAAACTGGTGGCACAGGAATTCTTTAGCAGTTTATTTAATGATGCGAGTTGGGCATCAAAAATTATGCCCCTGCTTCATACATGCTCTTTTTTAACACTCTAGCTGTGAGACCCATCATCATACAGATGGTCACGGGAACACTAATCTACGAGGCTTTCATGGTCTCAGAACATTTATAGACGCTCGTTGCGATACCAAGCATGACTCCAAGCACTTCTTAATCGCATCACAAAAGCTTATACAGGGAAAGCTCGTTAATTCACACCTCAATAATTCGAAATTTTGGATAATTCGAAATGGTCGCCGCAGTCCGGTCCGCAGTGCATAGGAGACCATGTGTAAAACGATTCGTTAATTCGAACAGAAATTGCTGCCTCTACGGATAATTCGAAGCGCGCGCCACCGAGCGTCATCATCGTCAAACACTAGTGGAAGCTTTTACGGTCGAACGATAGGTGGCACGACCAGTTTTTTCGAGCTTCAAGTGGCCTCCGAGCAAAGTACGGCCTCCAAAATTCAGGGAGCAATTTTTTTTTCCGTAGCCCTCCCGCTATCTCAGCGCCTGGTGCCACTTGTACGCGGGACCCACGGGACGCTGAGGAGTCGGCAGAGTAGTCCTAGCAGTCCTAGGCCGCTCCCGGCAGCGTCACTTTGTTCCTCGAGCACATTGTTCGTTCACGCCGTCATGCCGTCTTCATCCGCATCGAAGTTGCAAGATGCCGCGGGGAAACTACTGCGCAAAGTCTGTCTAGGAGAAGGTGGAGATTTTGCGAGAGGTTGACCAAAAGAACTCGAGCAAATACGAAATTGCGAGGAAGCACGGCATACCTCCGAGCATGTTGTCAACCTACATACGCAACAGGATGGCCATTGAAAACGCCTATGAAGCCGAGGATTTTGGCGCCAGTCGAAAAAGGCTAAGGACAGCGAAGTTCCCGGAACTGGAGTCAGCTTTGATTATCTGGGTTAAAGAAATGAGAGCCCAGAGTATCGCATTGAGCGGCCCTATCATCATGGCCAAGGCAGCCGATTTCTGGGTTAAAGAAATGAGAGCCCAGAGTATCGCATTGAGCGGCCCTATCATCATGGCCAAGGCAGCCGATTTCGCCCTGCGCTTGGACATTGAAGACTTTGTCGCCTCCGAGGGATGGTTTCATC